GGCGTAAAGCAGAGGTCTTCAAACTTTTACCAATTCACGGAACCCCTAGAACTTGAAGGTGCTTTCGTGGAACCCCATTCCATACACATACTTCGAAGAATATATCTCAAAATGTTTAAAATAGATCATGTTATAGACCAGGGATGGCGAACCATTGGCACGCGTGCCATTCATGGCACACGAAACAATATTTCGGGTACGCCAGCGATCAAAATAGTTTACATTTTATTTCAAAATAACAAAGTTGTGACGAATCTGTATGGAACCTTTCTACTAATATTGTTAGGCGTCTCTTTGGGGATTATAAATTCGCGTATATTTCCAATCAGCTCCATAAGGTAAACGGGATATGTAAAGTAGATAGGGTATTTAAGTCGAGCGTTGTAAGCTAGCAAGTATGAAGGCTATTGAGCCAGCAACAGTAACCTCAAATTTAGAGGACTTCAGGAGATTACGTTAGTGAAGACTTATTGCTGCTATTCTACGGAAGAACTAGAAAGTTGATATACCAGCGGTAAATATAATTTATGTAAGCTTAAAATAAGCGTTAGTTTAGTTAAAGTTAATGAAAGCTAATAATTCGAGTACGTGTATTTCTTGGACCTCCTATTTCGGTAGACCTTATTTGATCTTAAGCTATAATTATTAATTAATTTCATAATTCGTAATTTAATTTAATATAAAAGTTAAATCCCTTTTATTTGACGTAACATAGAAATATTATATGTTGTTAGAGTTTTTTTTTTTTTTTTTGAGATTTGATATAATAAATACAAGTTATTATTATACAAAATGGCTCTTAGTGATTCTTTGCTCAAATTAATCTTGGTGTCCAGGGTGAGACTCAGAGGGGTCTTCAGAAAGTTCACTATGAAGTATTACGAACAAATGCGAGTGATCGGTCATGGGGCGGCGAGGAGCACACTCGTTTGTTATTGTCTTGCCTTAGTTATGTCGTGGACTACAATAGCAAAGTTTGTCTATGCATATCGTAGTCGATTTCATTGACACAACTGAGTTTTAAAGTTTATTTGTATTATATTTATGATTTAACATGGCTAGTTGAGTGAAAAAAAAAATAAAAAGGCAAGATAGTAAATGTAATAGAGAATTTCAAATTTGGTGAATCTAGAAATATGGCATTATTAGTAAAGGCAACAAAAAGGTGTGTGTTTTAAGTTCTGGAATAGTGGTATGCAGAACATCGTCTGTAAAACGGCATTTCGAAACACATCGCAAATCCACTAGTCAAAAAGTGAACCACATCAAAAATAATTAATTGGTTAAAAACCAATAGGCAGATGGCTCCTATTGAGCATGCATTCTACTAAAAGTAATATCTTACAATCCTAATATAAGTTATTTGTCATCCACATACACACAATCTGCAACAACAGAAGTCACACTATCGTTACTTTAATTTGAATTGCACGTATAATTATACACAGTGCAAAAGAAATTTTTTCGTAGTAAATAAAGAGTTTTGTGTTCTTAGTAATTAGATTTATTATTTTCCCAATAATCACAAGTCAAAATTATTTAGCGGCACGTCTGTACCTCATTAAACACTTCTTTAGAAAAAATGGCTCGTATAAAGGTTCGCCACCCCTGTTATAGACGTTTTATGTAAAGTTAATTAAAAAAGTACTGCATTTATTATTAAGAAATTTTAATCTAATTCTTTAATTATAATTTACTCACTAATAATATTAATTTATGATCCAAGTGTCAGCTATCCATGCATTATATTTAGTAAATGGAATATGTGCTTGCTTTTTTTTTCACACAGTGTTGAAGTTTAGGTCAATTGAGATTAAATTCAATCGCCTTACATATATCCAAGTTTAATTTGCTTTTATAGCCCCTTACATTGAGAAATATATATTTAACTTAAACACAATGTTCTGAACGGCATTAAAATGTTTATAGCTGTGTGAGAAATCCTGCGTATTTTATATGAATTTGTTAGAACCCCCCTTGGTTCCACCCTGGACACCAAGATTAATTTGAGGCAGAGAATCACTAAGAGCCATTTGTATAATAATAACTTATATTTATTCATTTGATTCAAATATTAGAAATTCTAATGACATACAATATTTCTATGTTACGTCAAACAAAAGGGATTTACCTTTAATATTAAATTAAATTACGAAATATGAAATTAATCAATACCTACGCGTAAGATGAATAAGGTCTACCGAAATAGGAGGTCCGAGAAATACACGTAACTCGAATTATTAGCTTTCATTAATTTAAACTAATTTTATTAAACTAGCGCTTGTTTTAAACGATAATAAACTATAGTATATGACCTGGTAATACTTTGATATCTTCACTGGTATATTAGCTTTTAAGATTCCTTGGTAGAGTACCAGCAGTATAATTCTTCACTATCGTAATCCAATTGAATCCTCTAAACTTGACTCTACTGCTGATGGCTCAATAGCCTTCATCTTTGCTAGCTTACAACGCTCTACTTAAATACCCTATCTACTTTGCATATCCCGATCTCCTCTCAGAGTTGATTGGAAATATACGCGAATTTATAATCCCCAAAAAGACGCCTAACAATATTCGTGGAAAGGTTCCGTACAGATTCGTCACAAATTTGAAACATAAAATTTAGAAGCTGTTCTTGTTTTTCAGTTTTAATGAATGAAAAGGGTTATTAAGATACTTGCTCTTCATAGAGAACATGAATCCATTTTGCATACATATTTATTTCTTCTGGATTTTTTTATTATGACTCGTGGAACCCCAGGGCTCCATGGAAGACAGTTCGAAGGCTACTGGTGTAAAGCAGTGGTCTCCAACCCCCGGTCCATTGATCAAATATTACCGGTCCGCAGAAGAAACATTAAATTATTTCCCTTTTATTTAATGTGGTACATTTTCCTTGGGTTTGAGCCTTTTTTATGAAAATCACTTTATATTCTTTGTTAAATCACTTTAGATTCATTTTTTGGTGTAGCTATATTTTATTCTGAAGTCACGATTAAGTACAAATAAATTAAAATTATTCAATCAAAGGAGCCTAAAGCAGTGATCCGCAACTCTCGGTCCGTGGATCAGATGGTGCCGGGTCACCTGAAGAACATTAAACTATTGTCATTTTGTTTAAAGTGGTGCATTTCTCTCGGATTTGTGCAACTTTCTACGGAAATCACTTTATATTCCCCATTAAATCACTTTTATTCATTTTTGGTGTAACTATATTTTATTCTGAAGGCATATTTAAGTGTAACTAAATTAAAGTTGCTACATCAAAACAATCTAAAAGATAAACAATCAACGTGTCCCGCCATTAAACTGGCCGCGGTAAAATTATGAAACGTTGACCGGTCCACGGCGATAAAATTGTTGCGGAGCACTGGTCTAACATATAAACAGTCAATGTCCTCCCATTCAGTGGGCCGTGATTAAGTTAACAAACGTTGACCGGTCCGCGGCGATAAAAAGGTTGGGGAACACTGGTGTAAGTGAATCAGAATAGAATACATTTGACCTTGATCAGTCCGGTGCTGGTGGTACGTTATTTCTCTCTCTCATCCCTCTATCTTGTTCAATTTGCTTTTCATCCTTGTTTTTCAATTCCTACTATTAGCTCACAATCTCTATATATTTATATATTTATTTATCTTGTTCAAATTTTCAATAGTTAATAAAATATATTTTAAAGCGTTCAATTGAGCTGAAATTTTATAAACACGATTGTTTTGGATGACAATACAGTAATTAAATTTTAATGAATAAAAATTTATTGGCAAAACTAATTATTCAAAGAATTACAAATACAGCCACGTTGGTATAATTTTTGGCAACTTAGCGATCATTTTTGCTACTTATGTCAAAATTTTAAAGGTTTTTTCTCACGACATTCAGTTGATCTGAAATTTTCTATACACTATTGTTTTGGGTGACAATACGATTTTTTAATTATAATAATTTGAATTTATTGACTGAAACTAATTATTTAAAGAAATACAGATACAGCTACGTTGGTTTCAATTTTAGCTACTTGGGTCAAAATTTTAAAATATTTCTTTTCTCACGTTTTAATGAATTCAGTTAAACTGAAATTTTATATACACAACAGTTTTGGATGAAAATAAGCTAATTTAATGATAATTATTAAAAGCTGAAATTGCTATTTAATGTTGTGATTCTGCTATATGTATATACACTTTTATATTAATTGTAACTATTTTATAAAAAGTAGCTAAAATAAAATTCTTCTTTGCTGATCTAAGTAGGGGAATTAAGATAAATTTTTTTAAATATTATTTTATGTATGAGTAAGAGACATTGTTGTATCAAAGTGCCGTGAACATGAAAAATTAAAAATAGAGCTGCACGTAAATTTTAATTCCTCGTGAAAATTTAAAAAAAAAAAAAAAAAAAAAAAAAAAAAAAAAAAAAGAAAAAAGAATGTTTTAAATTGTTATTGAGGTGTTTGGAGATAATTGTACGTCACACAGTCAAGTTTTTGAATAACACGAACGTCTTTCGGAAGATCGGGAGGTTGTTGAAGATTTTGAACGTTCCGATCGATCTGTGACTTCAAGAACCGGACATGCTGATCGTTATTAATAACATCCTCGATACTAAGGGCGTCATCAAGATTGAATGGGTATGTGTCAGTGGTATCTATATAAGCCAGGAAAAAGCCTCCGTACTATGATGAGAATTTTAGTATAGTGGGAATGTTATGTGCTAGCGGATCAGAACATACAGGGTTCTAACCTTCATTGGTGACTCTGGCTGAACTTCGAAACAACACAAACCTTCGCGAAGCCGACGTGGCGCCATCTATCCACCACCAGAGCAACCGTCGTAGATCGCTCTAAGGCGCTCGCTTAAGACACCAGTCTCGCCGCCGTAGGTTCGAATCCCACCGATGCCAGGGCTTAATTTTTACTCTCTCCGAGAAGTGAATTAATGCATTTAATAACCAATGTACCAAAGGAATGAAAGACCACTATAAACGTGACGCCGAGGGTAATGTGGGCGAGAGGTTTAAGGCGCTGGTTTAAGGAACCAGTCTTTCCGGGGGCGTGCATTCGAATCTCACCGTTGCCAGGATTTCGTTATTTGTTTCTAAGAGAACTGTTTTTAATGCATTTAACATCCAATGTGCCAAAGGAATAAAAAAACATTATAAACGTTAAGCCGACTGTAGCGTGGCCGAGCGGTCTAAGGCACCAGTCTCTCCGGAGGCGTTGGTTCGAATACCACCGCTGCCAGGATTTCATTTTTTGTTTCACCGAAAAGTGCTGTAATGCATTTAAAAAACATTATTCCAAAGGAATAAAAGAACACTATAAATATGACCCGTACGGTAGCGTGGCCGATCGGTGTAAGGCGCAGATTTAAGGCACCAGTCTTACCGAAAACGTGGGATCGAATCCACAGATACCAGGATTTCTTTGTTTTTTGGTTTCTTCGAAAAGTTTTTTAAAGCATTTAACAATAAATGTTCCAAAGGAATAAAAGAACACTATAAACGTGATGCCGACGGTAGCGTGGCCGTGCGTTCTAAGGCACCAGTATATCCGGAGACGTGGTTTCGAATAACACCGCTGCCAGGATTTCATTTTAGGTTTCACCGAAAAGTGTTGTGATGCATTCAAAAACATTGTTCCAAAGGAATAAAAGAACACTATAAATGTGACCCCGACGGTAGCGTGGCCGAGCGGTCTAAGGCGCTGGTTTAAGGCACCAGTCTCTCCGGAGGAGTGGGTTCCAATCCCACCGCTGCCAGGATTTCATTTTTTGTTTCACCGTAAAGCAGTGCTTCTCAAACTTTCAATACTGGCGCCCCCCTTTTCGATCACAATTTTTTTCGCGCCCCCTTATACATTAATAATGCACTGAATGCAATAATAATGCAATTTGAAGCTAAAGTTACAATAGGCGATCTTAATTATAAACCATACAAATTAGTAACATAAGTATTAAAAATTTTGTATACTACTTTTAAGCAAAATAAAGAAATAAATAAAATAATAGGATAATTATTATGTTACTTTTCCTTTCTCTAATTTTTAAATTGAACATATTACAAAATGCGGTAGCTGCTTAGAAGACAAAATATAGATATGTGCTAAATATAGAAAAAGAACTCAGAGGGTCATTTTCAAATAATAAGCATTCCTTATAAAAACTTTGCTTTCCAAGACAAGCTCATGGACGTCATTAATACTTATTAAACTTGTTCTTAATTTAGTATTAATTAATTAGTTATAAAAAATTCTGTGCAGCACTGATACATTAAAAGTATACCTGCTGAAATGCCCGCCCTTTGCTCGAGTTCATTTATAAGAAAATAAAACATTATTGATATAATAGCTGAATTGTAAGGGAAGCTCGACAATGTGTTTACAAAAACGTAAAATGATTTTTTTAAAATTATTGCTCAAATTATAATTGGATTTAAGCGAATTGTAATTTTAAGCCTCACAGAATTAGCATTTATAATTGATGTTATACAGTAGCGCACACAGGAATTTTTCAAGGGAGGGTCCGGGGTCGAACGTTCACCAAACTTGTATCAGGTTCCTTTTGATATTGTCGATTTTCGGGAACGAAACACAGTAAAAAACTAATTCTTGAATAAGTAATTAGCATTAACTAATAAAAATAATCATTAATAACTAATACTTAACTAAATTTTACGTACTATAAACTTAGAATTATAATCAATCGGAAAAAAATCAAGGGCTTTGGGGGGGTTCCGGACCCCCCCTTGTGTTCGGCACTGATGTTAAATAATGATCAATAATATAAAATATCGATGAAGAATAATTGTATTATTTTTAATATTTAAAGTGAAAAGACTTCAACATGTTTTAACCCGGGAGCAGGCGCGCACTCGGTACGGTCGGGGTTATTGAGTCACCCCAATCCTTTTTTTTATAATTATTTTATTGTACTCGATACAAATCATGATTCCAGTGAATAATTTAGCTAAGAGAAAACTTACTTACCGACTTTCAAGGACGTTTAAATTTTTCTTTGGTAATAAATAAACAGTTTTGCCAGAATTAACGATTTCGTAATCTGTGTGTCCCGCGCGACTACTTCCGGGTAAAAAGTATATTCATTATGATAATATGTATGTTACTGCTAAAAAATTGTGTGAAACGTTTTTTGTTATGCTTTATACATTTAGAATATTTATAAAAATATGTCTTGGCCAAGTAATCCTTCATGTGCTTGTGTGTGTGTGTGTGCTCTCCGTGGTTTTCCAAATAACATGAAACTTAACTTAGAAGGTCAAACAGATTACAGCTATAATGTGCAGTCTTTCAAAAAAAATGACAGTGATGAATTTTTTATGTTCCTAAAGTTTTTCGATTCTGGGTCCGGGATCTGGTTTTTCTCTGAAATAGTAGTATGTTAGGTTAAAAAAAAGCGTAATAAAAAAATCTCTCATCACGGGATGACAGCAAAACAAATAAAAGATTTTTTATTTGGTTATAGGATCAAAGATAGCTAATTAGGTATTGAAGAAGTTTTAATTTTTGATGGCTTAATATCGCCTATAAATTATATCAGAGTAAAAAGCATTTTTTATTATGTCTGAAAGTATTTTGTTTTAATTCATTCCAGTAAACTAATTATTTTTTAAATCTTTTATTTTCGATATGCTCGCGCCCCCCTCGTAAGGTCATCGCACTCCCCAGGGGGGCGCGCCCCACAGTATGAGAAGCACTGCCGTAAAGTGTTGTAATGCATTTAAAAAACATTCTTCCAAAGGAATAAAAGAACGCTATAAATATGACCCGTACGGTAGCGTGGCCGAGCGGTGTAAGGCGCAGATTTAAGGCACCAGTCTTACCGAAAACGTGGGTTCGAATTCACCGCTACCAGGATTTCTTTTTTTTTTTTTTGTTTCTCCGAAAAGTTTTTTAATGCATTTAACAATAAATGTTCCAAAGGAATAAACGAAAACTATAAACGCGATGCCGACGGTAGCGTGGCCAAGCGGTCTAAGGCACCAGTCTCTCCGGAGGCTGGGTTCGAATCCCACCGCTGCTAGGATTTCATTTTTTGTTTCATCGAAAAGTGTTGTAATGCATTTTAAAAAATTGTTCCAAAGGAATAAAAGAACACTATAAATGTGACCCCGACGGTAGCGTAGCCGACCGGTGTAAGGCGCAGATTTAAGGCACCAGTCTTACCGAAAACGTGGGTTCGAATCCACCGGTACCAAGATTTCTTTTTTTTTTTTGTTTCTTCGAAAAGTTTTTTAATGCATTTAACAATAAATGTTCCAAAGGAATAAACGAACACTATAAACGTGATGCCGACGGTAGCGTGGCCGTGCGTTCTAAGGCACCAGTCTATCCGGAGACGTGGGTTCGAATAACACCGCTGCCAGGATTTCATTTTAGGTTTCACCAAAAGTGTTGTGATGCATTCAAAAAACATTGTTCCAAAGGAATAAAAGAACACTATAAATGTAACCCCGACGGTAGCCTGGCCGAGCGGTCTAAGGCGCTGGTTTAAGGCACCAGTCTACCCGGAGACGTGGGTTCGAATAACACCGCTGCTAGGATTTCATTTTTGTTTCAACCAAAAGTGTTGTAATGCATTTAAAAACATTGTTCCAAAGGAATAAAAGAACACTATTAACGGGATCCCACCGGTAGCGTGGCCGAGTGGTGTAAGGCGCAGATTTAAGGCACCAGTCTTACCGAAAACGTGGGTTCAAATCCACAGATACCAGAATTTCTGTTTTTTTTGTTTCTCCGAAAAGTTTTTTAATGCATTTAACAATAAATGTTCCAAAGGAATAAAAGAACACCATAAACGTGATGCCGACTGTAGCGTGGCCGTGCGGTCTAAGGCGCTGGTTTAATGCACCAGTCTCTCCGGAGGCGTGGGTTCGAATCCCACCGCCGCCAGGATTTCATTTATTGTTTCACCGAAAGGTGTACTAATGCATTTAAAAAACAATGTTCCAAAGGAATAAAAGAACACTATAAACAGGATCCCACCGGATCCCACCGGTAGCGTGGCCGAGCGGTGTAAGGCGCAGATTTAAGGCCCCAGTCTTACCGAAAATATGTGTTCGAATCTCACCGCTGCAAGGATTTCTTTTTTTTTTTGTTTCTACGAAAAGTTTTTTAATGCATTTAACAATAAATGTTCCAAAGGAATAAAAGAAAACAATAAACGTGATGCCGACGGTAGCGTGGCCGTGCGTTCTAAGGCACCAGTGTCTCTGGAGGCGTGGGTTCGAATTACACCGCTGCCAGGATTTCATTTTATGTTTCACCGAAAAGTGTTGTAATGCATTTAAAAAACATTGTTCCAAAGGAATAAAAGAACACTATAAATGTAACCACGACGGTAGCGTGGCCGAGCGGTCTAAGGCGCTGGTTTAAGGCACCAGTCTCTCCGGAGGCGTGGGTTCGAATCCCACCGCTGCCAGGATTTCATTTTTTGTTTCACCGTAAGCAGTGCTTCTCAAACTTTCAATACTGGCGCCCCCCTTTTCGATCACAATTTTTTTCGCGCCCCCCCTTATACATTAACAATGTACTGAATGCAATAATAATGCACTTTGAAGCTAAAGTTACAATAGGCGATCTTAATTATAAACCATACAAATTAGTAACTAAGTATTAAAAAGTTTGTATACTACTTTTAAGCAAAATAAATAAATAAATAAAATAATAGGATAATTCATTTTACTTTTCACCGAATTTTTAAATTGAACATATTAAAAATGCATTGTTCCAAAAATATAGATATGTGCTAAATATAGAAAAAGAACTCAGAGGGTCATTTTCAAATAATAAGCATTCCTTATAAAAACTTTGCTAAGACAAGCTTCATGGACGTCATTAATACTTATTAAACTTGTTCTTAATTTAGTATTAATTAATTAGTTATAAAATCCTGTGCAGCACTGTACATTAAAAGTATACCCAAATGCCGCCCTTTGCTCGAGTTCATTTCATTATTGATATAATAGCTGAATTGTAAGCAAGTCGACAATGTGTTTACAAACGTAAATGATTTTTTAAAATCATTGCTCAAATTATAATTGGTTTTAAGCGAATTGTAATTTTAAGCCTCACAGAATTAGCATTAATAATTGATGTTATACAGTAGCGCACAAGGAATTTTTCAAGGGGAGGATCTCGAAAGTTCACAAACTTGTATCAGGTTCCTTTGATTTTGTCAATTTTAAACAAAAAGACAGTAAAAATTAGTAACAATAAGTAATTAGCATTAACTAATAAAAATAATCATTAATAACAAATACTAACTAAATTTTACGTACTATAAACTTAGAATTATAATCAATCGGAAAAAATCAGGATAATTGGATTGTGTTCGGATTTGGTGTTAAATAATGATCAATAATATAAAATATCGATGAAGAATAATTGTATTATTTTTAATATTTAAAGTAAAAAGACTTCAACATGTTTTAACCCGGGAGCAGACGCGCACTCGGTACGGTCGGGGTTATTGAGTCACTCTAATCCTTTTTTTTTATAATTATTTTATTGTACTCGATACAAATCATGATTCCAGTGAATAATTTAGCTAAGAGAAAACTTACTTACCGACTTTCAAGGACTTTTAAATTTTTCTTTGGTAATAAATAAACAGTTTTGCCAGAATTAACGATTTCGTAATCTGTGTGTCCCGCGCGACTACTTCCGGGTAAAAAGTATATTCATTATGATAATATGTATGTAATAAAAAAATTGTGTGAAAAGTTTTTTGTTATGCTTTATACATTTAGAATATTTATAAAAATATGTCTTGGCCAAGTAATCCTTCATGTGCTTGTGTGTGTGTGCTCTCCGTGGTTTTCCAAATAACATGAAACTTAACTTAGAAGGTCAAACAGATTACAGCTATAATGTGCAGTCTTTCAAAAAAAATGACAGTGATGAATTTTTTATGTTCCTAAAGTTTTTCGATTCTGGGTCCGGGATCTGGTTTTTCTCTGAAAGAGTAGTATGTTAGGTTAAAAAAAAAGCATAATAAAAAAATCTCTCATCACGGGATGACAGCAAAACAAATAAAAGATTTTTTATTTGGTTATAGGATCAAAGATAGCTAATTAGGTATTGAAGAAGTTTTAATTTTTGATAGCTTAATATCGCCTATAAATTATATCAGAGTAAAAAGAATTTTTTATTATGTCTGAAAGTATTTTGTTTTAATTCATTCCAGTAAACTAATTATTTTTTAAATCTTTTATTTTCGATATGCTCGCGCCCCCTTAAGGTCATCGCGCTCCCCAGGGGGGCGCGCCCCACAGTATGAGAAGCACTGCCGTAAAGTGTTGTAATGCATTTAAAAAACATTCTTCCAAAGGAATAAAAGAACGCTATAAATGTGACCCGTACGGTAGCGTGGCCGAGCGGTGTAAGGCGAAGTTTTAAGGCGCCAGTCTTACAGAAAACGTGGTTTCGTATCCCACCGCTGCCCGGTTTTCTTTTTTGTTTCTCCGAAAACTTTTTAATGCATTTAACAATAAATGTTCCAAAGGAATAAAAGAACAAAATAAACGTAATGCCGACGGTAGCGTGGCCGAGCGGTCTAAGGCGCTGGTTTAAGGCACCAGTCTCTCCGGAGGCGTGGAATCGAATCCCACCGCTGCCAGGATTTCATTTTTTGTTTCACCGGAAAGTGTTGTAATGCATTTAAAAACATTGTTCCAAAGGAATAAAAGAACACTATAAATGTGACCCCGACGGTAGCGTGGACGAGCGGTGTAAGGCGCAGATTTAAGGCGCCAGTCTTACCGAAAACGTGGTTTCGTATCCCACCGCTGCCAGGTTTTCTTTTTTGTTTCTCCGAAAAGCTTTTTAATGCATTTAACAATAAATGTTCCAAAGCAATAAAAGAACACTATAAACGTAATGCCGACGATAGCGTGGCCGAGCGGTCTAAGGCGCTGGTTTAAGGCACCAGTTTCTCCGGAGGCGTGGGTTCGAATCCCACCGCTGCCAGGATTTCATTTTTTGTTTCACCGGAAAGTATTGTAATGCATTTAAAAACATTGTTCCAAAGGAATAAAAGAACACTATAAATGTGACCCCGACGGTAGCGTGGCCGAGCGGTGTAAGGCGCAGATGTAAGGCGCCAGTCTTACCGAAAACGTGGTTTCGTATCCCACCGCTGCCAGGTTTTTTTTTCGGATTCTCCGAAAAGTTTTTTAATGCATTTAACAATAAATGTTCCAAAGCAATAAAAGAACACTATAAACGTAATGCCGACGGTAGCGTGGCCGAGCGGTCTAAGGCGTAGGTTTAAGGCACCTGTCTCTCCGAGGCGTGTGTTCGAATCCCACCGCTGCCAGGTTTTCTTTTTTTGTTTTTACGAAAAGTTTTTTAATGCATTTAACAATAAATGTTCCAAAGGAATAAAAGAACAGTATGAACATAATGCCGACGGTAGCGTGGCCGAGCGGTCTAAGGCGCTGGTTTAAGGCACCAGTCTCTCCGGAGGCGTGGGTTCGAATCCCACCGCTGCCAGGATTTCTTTTTTTGTTTTCCCAAAAGTTTTTTAATGCATTTTGCAATAAATTTTCCAAAGGAATAAAAGAACAGTATGAACATAATGCCGACGGCAGCGTGGCCGAGCGGTCTAAGGCGCTGGTTTTAAGACACCAGTCTCTCCAGAGGCGTGGGTTCGAATCCCACCGCTGACAGGATTTCATTTTTTGTTTCACCGAAAAGTGTTGTAATGCATTTAAAAAACATTGTTCCAAAGGAATAAAAGAACACTATAAATGTGACCCCGACGGTAGCGTGGCCGAGCGGTGTAAGGCGCAGATTTAAGGCGCCAGTTTTACCGAAAACGTGGTTTCGTATTCCACCGCTGCCTGGTTTTCTTTTTTTGTTTCTACGAAAAGTTTTTAAATGCATTTAACAATAAATGTTCCAAAGGAATAAAAGAACACTATAAACGTAATGCCGAAGGTAGCGTGGCCGAGCGGTCTAAGGCGTTGGTTTAAGGCACCTGTCTCTCCAGAGGCGTGTGTTCGAATCCCACCGCTGCCAGGTTTTCTTTTTTGTTTTTACGAAAAGTTTTTTAATGCATTTAACAATAAATGTTCCAAAGCAATAATAGAACACTATAAACGTAATGCCGACGGTAGCGTGGCCGAGCGGTCTAAGGCGCTGGTTTAAGGCACGAGTCTCTCCGGAGGCGTGGGTTCGAATCCCACCGCTGCCATGATTTCATTTTTTGTTTCACCGGAAAGTGTTGTAATGCATTTAAAAACATTGTTCCAAAGGAATAAAAGAACACTATATAAATTTGACCCCGACGGTAGCGTGGCCGAGGGGTGTAAGGCGCAGATTTAAGGCGCCAGTCTTACCGAAAACGTGGTTTCGTATCCCACCGCTGCCAGATTTTCTTTTTTGGATTCTCCGAAAAGTTTTTTAATGCATTTAACAATAAATGTTCCAAAGGAATAAAAGAACAGTATGAACATAATGCCGACGGTAGCGTGGCCGAGCGGTCTAAGGCGCTGGTTTAAGGCACCAGTCTCTCCGGAGGCGTGGGTTCGAATCCCACCGCTGCCAGGTTTCTTTTTTGTTTTTCCAAAAGTTTTTTAATGCATTTTTAAATTTTCCAAAGGAATAAAAGAACAGTTTAAGGCGCTCTTTTAAGGCACCAGTCTCTCCGGAGGCGTGGGTTCGAATCCCACCGCTGCCAGGATTTCATTTTTTTTCACCGAAAAGTGTTGTAATGCATTTAAAAACATTGTTCCAAAGGAATAAAAGAACACTATAAATGTGACCCCGACGGTAGCGTGGCCGAGCGGTGTAAGGCGAAGTTTTAAGGCGCCAGTCTTACAGAAAACGTGGTTTCGTATCCCACCGCTGCCCGGTTTTCTTTTTTTGTTTCTCCGAAAACTTTTTTAATGCATTTAACAATAAATGTTCCAAAGGAATAAAAGAACAAAATAAACGTAATGCCGACGGTAGCGTGGCCGAGCGGTCTAAGGCGCTGGTTTAAGGCACCAGTCTCTCCGGAGGCGTGGAATCGAATCCCACCGCTGCCAGGATTTCATTTTTTTTTCACCGGAAAGTGTTGTAATGCATTTAAAAAACATTGTTCCAAAGGAATAAAAGAACACAATAAATGTGACCCCGACGGTAGCGTGGACGAGCGGTGTAAGGCGCAGATTTAAGGCGCCAGTCTTACCGAAAACGTGGTTTCGTATCCCACCGCTGCCAGGTTTTCTTTTTGGATTCTCCGAAAAGCTTTTTAATGCATTTAACAATAAATGTTCCAAAGCAATAAAAGAACACTATAAACGTAATGCCGACGATAGCGTGGCCGAGCGGTCTAAGGCGCTGGTTTAAGGCACCAGTTTCTCCGGAGGCGTGGGTTCGAATCCCACCGCTGCCAGGATTTCATTTTTTGTTTCACCGGAAAGTATTGTAATGCATTTAAAAAACATTGTTCCAAAGGAATAAAAGAACACTATAAATGTGACCCCGACGGTAGCGTGGCCGAGCGGTGTAAGGCGCAGATTTAAGGCGCCAGTCTTACCGAAAACGTGGTTTCGTATCCCACCGCTGCCAGGTTTTCTTTTTTGGATTCTCCGAAAAGTTTTTTAATGCATTTAACAATAAATGTTCCAAAGCAATAAAAGAACACTATAAACGTAATGCCGACGGTAGCGTGGCCGAGCGGTCTATTTAACCTGTCTCTCCAGAGGCGTGTGTTCGAATCCCACCGCTGCCAGGTTTTCTTTTTTTGTTTTTACGAAAAGTTTTTTAATGCATTTAACAATAAATGTTCCAAAGAAATAAAAGAACAGTATGAACTTAATGCCGACGGTAGCGTGGCCGAGCGGTCTAAGGCGCTGGTTTAAGGCACCAGTCTCTCCGGAGGCGTGGGTTCGAATCCCACCGCTGCCAGGATTTCTTTTTTTGTTTTCCCAAAAGTTTTTTAATGCATTTTGCAATAAATTTTCCAAAGGAATAAAAGAACAGTATGAACATAATGCCGACGGTAGCGTGGCCGAGCGGTCTAAGGCGCTCTTTTAAGGCACCAGTCTCTCCAGAGGCGTGGGTTCGAATCCCACCGCTGCCAGGATTTCATTTTTTGTTTCACCGAAAAGTGTTGTAATGCATTTAAAAACATTGTTCCAAAGGAATAAAAGAACACTATAAATGTGACCCCCACGGTAGCGTGGCCGAGCGGTGTAAGGCGCAGATTTAAGGCGCCAGTCTTACCGAAAACGTGGTTTCGTATCCCACCGCTGCCAGGTTTTCTTTTTTTTTTTTTCTCGAAAAGTTTTTAAATGCATTTAACAATAAATGTTCCAAAGGAATAAAAGAACACTATAAACGTAATGCCGACGGTAGCGTGGCCGAGCGGTCTAAGGCGCTGGTTTAAGGCACCAGTCTCTCCAGAGGCGTGGGTTCGAATCCCACCGCTGCCAGGATTTCATTTTTTGTTTCAACGAAAAGTGTTGTAATGCATTTAAAAAAATTGTTCCAAAGGAATAAAAGAACACTATAAATGTGACCCCGACGGTAGCGTGGCCGAGCGGTGTAAGGCGCAGATTTAAGGCGCCAGTCTTACCGAAAACGTGGTTTCGTATCCCACCGCTGCCAGGTTTTCTTTTTTGATTCTCCGAAAAGTTTTTTAATGCATTTAACAATAAATGTTCCAAAGCAATAAAAGAACACTATAAACGTAATGCCGACGGTAGCGTGGCCGAGCGGTCTAAGGCGTTGGTTTAAGGCACCTGTCTCTCCAGAGGCGTGTGTTCGAATCCCACCGCTGCCAGGTTTTCTTTTTTTGTTTTTACGAAAAGTTTTTTAATGCATTTAACAATAAATGTTCCAAAGGAATAATAGAACACTATAAACGTAATGCCGACGGTAGCGTGGCCGAGCGGTCTAAGGCGCTGGTTTAAGGCACGAGTCTCTCCGGAGGCGTGGGTTCGAATCCCACCGCTGCCATGATTTCATTTTTTTGTTTCACCGGAAAGTGTTGTAATGCATTTAAAAACATTGTTCCAAAGGAATAAAAGAACACTATATAAATTTGACCCCGACGGTAGCGTGGCCGAGGGGTGTAAGGCGCAGATTTAAGGCGCCAGTCTTACCGAAAACGTGGTTTCGTATCCCACCGCTGCCAGATTTTCTTTTTTGATTCTCCGAAAAGTTTTTTAATGCATTTAACAATAAATGTTCCAAAGGAATAAAAGAACAGTATGAACATAATGCCGACGGTAGCGTGGCCGAGCGGTCTAAGGCGCTGGTTTAAGGCACCAGTCTCTCCGGAGGCGTGGGTTCGAATCCCACCGCTGCCAGGATTTCTTTTTTTGTTTTTCCAAAAAGTTTTTTAATGCATTTTGCAATAAATTTTCCAAAGGAATAAAAGAACAGTATGAACATAATGCCGACGGTAGCGTGGCCGAGCGGTCTAAGGCGCTCTTTAAGGCACCAGTCTCTCCGTAGGCGTGGGTTCGAATCCCACCGCTGCCAGGATTTCATTTTTTTTCACCGAAAAGTGTTGTAATGCATTTAAAAACATTGTTCCAAAGGAATAAAAGAACACTATAAATGTGACCCCGACGGTAGCGTGGCCGAGCGGTGTAAGGCGCAGATTTAAGGCGCCAGTCTTACCGAAAACGTGGTTTCGTATCCCACCGCTGCCAGGTTTTCTTTTTTGTTTCTCCGAAAACTTTTTAATGCATTTAACAATAAATGTTCCAAAGGAATAAAAGAACAAAATAAACGTAATGCCGACGGTAGCGTGGCCGAGCGGTCTAATGCGCTGGTTTAAGACACCAGTCTCTCCAGAGGCGTGGGTTCGAATCCCACCGCTGACAGGATTTCATTTTTTGTTTCACCGAAAAGTGTTGTAATGCATTTAAAAAACATTGTTCCAAAGGAATAAAAGAACACTATATATTTGACCCCGACGGTAACGTGGCCGAGCGGTGTAAGGCGCAGATTTAAGGTAGCGTTGCCGAGGCGCCAGTCTTACCGAAAACGTGGTTTCGTATCCCACCGCTGCCAGGTTTTCTTTTTTTTGTTTCTCCGAAAAGTTTTTTAATGCATTTAACAATAAATGTTCCAAAGCAATAAAAGAACACTATAAACGTAATGCCGACGGTAGCGTGGCCGAGCGGTCTAAGGCGCTGGTTTAAGGCACCAGTCTCTCCAGAGGCGTGGGTTCGAATCCCACCGCTGCCAGGTTTTCTTTTTTTGTTTATACGAAAAGTTTTTTAATGCATTTAACAATAAATGTTCCAAAGGAATAATAGAACACTATAAACGTAATGCCGACGGTAGCGTGGCCGAGCGGTCTAAGGCGCTGGTTTAAGGCACGAGTCTCTCCGGAGGCGTGGGTTTCCCACCGCTGCCATGATTTCATTTTTTGTTTCACCGGAAAGTGTTTTAATGCATTTAAAAACATTGTTCCAAAAGAATAAAAGAACAATATATAAATTTGACCCCGACGGTAGCGTGGCCGAGGGGTGTAAGGCGCAGATTTAAGGCGCCAGTCTTACCGAAAACGTGGTTTCGTATCCCACCGCTGCCAGATTTTCTTTTTTGGATTCTCCGAAAAGTTTTTTAATGCATTTAACAATAAATGTTCCAAAGGAATAAAAGAACAGTATGAACATAATGCCGACGGTAGCGTGGCCGAGCGGTCTAAGGCGCTGGTTTGAGGCACCAGTCTCTCCGGAGGCGTGGGTTTAATCCCACCGCTGCCAGGATTTCATTTTTTTTCACCGAAAAGTGTTGTAATGCATTTAAAAAACATTGTTCCAAAGGAATAAAAGAACACTATAAATGTGACCCCGACGGTAGCGTGGCCGAGCGGTGTAAGGCGAAGTTTTAAGGCGCCAGTCTTACAGAAAACGTGGTTTCGTATTCCACCGCTGCCTTTTTCTTTTTTTGTTTCTCCGAAAACTTTTTAATGCATTTAACAATAAATGTTCCAAAGGAATAAAAGAACAAAATAAACGTAATGCCGACGGTAGCGTGGCCGAGCGGTCTAAGGCGCTGGTTTAAGGCACCAGTCTCTCCAGAGGCGTGGGTTCGAATCCCACCGCTGCCAGGATTTCATTTTTTGTTTCACCGAAAAGTGTTGTAATGCATTTAAAAACATTGTTCCAAAGGAATAAATGAACACTATAAATGTGACCCCGACGGTAGCGTGGCCGAGCGGTGTAAGGCGCAGATTTAAGGCGCCAGTCTTACCGAAAACGTGGTTTCGTATCCCACCGCTGCCAGATTTTCTTTTTTGGATTCTCCGAAAAGTTTTTTAATGCATTTAACAATAAATGTTCCAAAGGAATAAAAGAACACTATAAACATAATGCCGACGGTAGCGTGGCCGAGCGGTCTAAGGCGCTGGTTTAAGGCACCAGTCTCTCCGGAGGCGTGGGTTCGAATCCCACCGCTGCCAGGATTTCTTTTTTTGTTTTTCCAAAAAGTTTTTTAATGCATTTTGCAATAAATTTTCCAAAGGAATAAAAGAACAGTATGAACATAATGCCGACGGTAGCGTGGCCGAGCGGTCTAAGGCGCTGGTTTAAGGCACCAGTCTCTCCGGAGGCGTGGGTTCAAATCCCACCGCTGCCAGGATTTCATTTTTTGTTTCACCGAAAAGTGTTGTAATGCATTTAAAAAACATTGTTCCAAAGGAATAAAAGAACACTATAAATGTGACCCCGACGGTAGCGTGGCCGAGCGGTGTAAGGCGCAGATTTAAGGCGCCAGTCTTACCGAAAACGTGGTTTCGTATCCACCGCTGCCAGGTTTTCTTTTTTGTTTCTCCGAAAAGTTTTTTAATGCATTTAACAATAAATGTTCCAAAGGAATAAAAGAACACTATAAACGTAATGCCGACGGTAGCGTGGCCGAGCGGTCTAAGGCGCTGGTTTAAGGCACCAGTCTCTCCGGAGGCGTGGGTTCGAATCCCACCGCTGCCAGGATTTCATTTTTTGTTTCACCGGAAAGTATTGTAATGCATTTAAAAAACATTGTTCCAAAGGAATAAAAGAACACTATAAATGTGACCCCGACGGTAGCGTGGCCGAGCGGTGTAAGGCGCAGATTTAAGGCGCCAGTCTTACCGAAAACGTGGTTTCGTATTCCACCGCTGCCAGGTTTTCTTTTTTGGTATCTCCGAAAAGTTTTTTAATGCATTTAACAATAAATGTTCCAAAGGAATAAAAGAACAATAAAATTTGAACACTATAAACGCAGATAATGCCGAAAACGTGGTTTCGTATCCCACCGTGCCGAGCGGTTTTTTAATGCATTTAACAATAAATGTTCCAAAGGTTTATAAACGTTAACACGGTAGCCGGTCTAAGGCGTTGGTTTAAGGCACCAGTCTCTCCAGAGGCGTGTGTTTCGAATCCCACCGCTGCCAGGTTTTCTTTTTTTGTTTATACGAAAAGTTTTTTAATGCATTTAACAATAAATGTTCCAAAGCAATAATAGAACACTATAAACGTAATGCCGACGGTAGCGTGGCCGAGCGGTCTAAGGCGCTGGTTTAAGGCACCAGTCTCTCCGGAGGCGTGGGTTCGAATCCCACCGCTGCCATGATTTCATTTTTTGTTTCACCGGAAAGTGTTGTAATGCATTTAAAAACATTGTTCCAAAGGAATAAAAGAACACTATATAAATTTGACCCCGACGGTAGCGTGGCCGAGGGGTGTAAGGCGCAGATTTAAGGCGCCAGTCTTACCGAAAACGTGGTTTCGTATCCCACCGCTGCCAGATTTTCTTTTTTTGATTCTCCGAAAAGTTTTTTAATGCATTTAACAATAAATGTTCCAAAGGAATAAAAGAACAGTATGAACATAATGCCGACGGTAGCGTGGCCGAGCGGTCTAAGGCGCTGGTTTAAGGCACCAGTCTCTCCGGAGGCGTGGGTTCGAATCCCACCGCTGCCAGGATTTCTTTTTTTTTGTTTCTGCAAAAAGTTTTTTAATGCATTTTGCAATAAATTTTCCAAAGGAATAAAAGAACAGTATGAACATAATGCCGACGGTAGCGTGGCCGAGCGGTCTAAGGCGCTGGTTTAAGGCACCAGTCTCTCCGGAGGCGTGGGTTCGAATCCCACCGCTGCCAGGATTTCATTTTTTGTTTCACCGAAAAGTGTTGTAATGCATTTAAAAAACATTGTTCCAAAGGAATAAAAGAACACTATAAATGTGACCCCGACGGTAGCGTGGCCGAGCGGTGTAAGGCGCAGATTTAAGGCGCCAGTCTTACCGAAAACGTGGTTTCGTATTCCACCGCTGCCAGGTTTTCTTTTTTTTTTTTTCTACGAAAAGTTTTTAAATGCATTTAACAATAAATGTTCCAAAGGAATAAAAGAACACTATAAACGTAATGCCGACGGTAGCGTGGCCGAGCGGTCTAAGGCGCTGGTTTAAGGCACCAGTCTCTCCGAGGCGTGGGTTCGAATCCCACCGCTGCCAGGTTTCTTTTTTTTTTTTACGAAAAGTTTTTAATGCATTTAACAATAAATGTTCCAAAGGAATAAAAGAACACTATAAACGTAATGCCGACGGTAGCGTGGCCGAGCGGTCTAAGGCGCTGGTTTAAGGCACGAGTCTCTCCGGAGGCGTGGGTTCGAATCCCACCGCTGCCAGGATTTCATTTTTTGTTTCACCGGAAAGTGTTGTAATGCATTTAAAAAACATTGTTCCAAAGGAATAAAAGAACACTATATAAATTTGACCCCGACGGTAGCGTGGCCGAGGGGTGTAAGGCGCAGATTTAAGGCGCCAGTCTTACCGAAAACGTGGTTTCGTATCCCACCGCTGCCAGATTTTCTTTTTTGATTCTCCGAAAAGTTTTTTAATGCATTTAACAATAAATGTTCCAAAGGAATAAAAGAACAGTATGAACATAATGCCGACGGTAGCGTGGCCGAGCGGTCTAAGGCGCTGGTTTAAGGCACCAGTCTCTCCGGAGGCGTGGGTTCGAATCCCACCGCTGCCAGGATTTCTTTTTTTGTTTTTCCAAAAGTTTTTTAATGCATTTTGCAATAAATTTTCCAAAGGAATAAAAGAACAGTATGAACATAATGCCGACGGTAGCGTGGCCGAGCGGTCTAAGGCGCTGGTTTAAGGCACCAGTCTCTCCGGAGGCGTGGGTTCGAATCCCACCGCTGCCAGGATTTCATTTTTTGTTTCACCGAAAAGTTTTAATGCATTTAAAAAAATTGTTCCAAAGGAATAAAAGAACACTATAAATGTGACCCGACGGTAGCGTGGCCGAGCGGTGTAAGGCGTTTTAAGGCGCCAGTTTAAGGCGCCAGTCTTACCGAAAACGTGGCCGAGCGGTTCGCTGGTTTAAGACATTCTCCAGAGGCGTGTGTTCGAATCCCACCGCTGCCAGGTTTTCTTTTTTTTGTTTTTACGAAAAGTTTTTAATGCATTTAACAATAAATGTTCCAAAGGAATAAAAGAACACTATAAACGTAATGCCGACGGTAGCGTGGCCGAGCGGTCTAAGGCGCTGGTTTAAGGCACCAGTCTCTCCGGAGGCGTGGGTTCGAATCCCACCGCTGCCAGGATTTCATTTTTTGTTTCACCGGAAAGTGTTGTAATGCATTTAAAAACATTGTTCCAAAGGAATAAAAGAACACTATAAAATTTGACCCCGACGGTAGCGTGGCCGAGGGTGTAAGGCGCAGATTTAAGGCGCCAGTCTTACCGAAAACGTGGTTTCGTATCCCACCGCTGCCAGGTTTTCTTTTTTGTTTCTCCGAAAAGTTTTTAATGCATTTAACAATAAATGTTCCAAAGGAATAAAAGAACACTATAAACGTAATGCCGACGGTAGCTTGGCCGAGCGGTCTAAGGCGCTGGTTTAAGGCACCAGTCTCTCCGAGGCGTGGGTTCGAATCCCACCGCTGCCAGGATTTCTTTTTTGTTTTTCCAAAAAGTTTTTTAATGCATTTTGCAATAAATTTTCCAAAGGAATAAAAGAACAGTATGAACATAATGCCGACGGTAGCGTGGCCGAGCGGTCTAAGGCGCTGGTTTAAGGCACCAGTCTCTCCGGAGGCGTGGGTTCGAATCCCACCGCTGCCAGGATTTCATTTTTTGTTTCACCGAAAAGTGTTGTAATGCATTTAAAAACATTGTTCCAAAGGAATAAAAGAACACTATAAATGTGACCCCCACGGTAGCGTGGCCGAGCGGTGTAAGGCGCAGATTTAAGGCGCCAGTCTTACCGAAAACGTGGTTTCGTATTCCACCGCTGCCAGGTTTTCTTTTTTTTGTTTCTACGAAAAGTTTTTAAATGCATTTAACAATAAATGTTCCAAAGGAATAAAAGAACACTATAAACGTAATGCCGACGGTAGCGTGGCCGAGCGGTCTAAGGCGCTGGTTTAAGGCACCAGTCTCTCTCCGGAGGCGTGGGTTCGAATCCCACCGCTGCCAGGATTTCATTTTTTGTTTCACCGGAAAGTGTTGTAATGCATTTAAAAACATTGTTCCAAAGGAATAAAAGAACACTATAAATGTGACCCCGACGGTAGCGTGGCCGAGCGGTGTAAGGCGCAGATTTAAGGCGCCAGTCTTACCGAAAACGTGGTTTCGTTCCACCGCTGCCATTTTCCACCGCATTTAACAATAAATGTTCCAAAGGAACACTTTTCTTTTGTTTCTCCGAAAACCGCTGCCAGGTTTTTTAAATGCATTTAACAATAAATGTTCCAAAGCAATAAAAGAACACTATAAACGTAATGCCGACGGTAGCGTGGCCGAGCGGTCTAAGGCGTTGGTTTAAGGCACCAGTCTCTCCAGAGGCGTGTGTTCGAATCCCACCGCTGCCAGGTTTTCTTTTTTTTGTTTTTACGAAAAGTTTTTTAATGCATTTAACAATAAATGTTCCAAAGGAATAATAGAACACTATAAACGTAATGCCGACGGTAGCGTGGCCGAGCGGTCTAAGGCGCTGGTTTAAGGCACCAGTCTCTCCGGAGGCGTGGGTTCGAATCCCACCGCTGCCATGATTTCATTTTTTGTTTCACCGGAAAGTGTTGTAATGCATTTAAAAACATTGTTCCAAAGGAATAAAAGAACACTATATAAATTTGACCCCGACGGTAGCGTGGCCGAGGGGTGTAAGGCGCAGATTTAAGGCGCCAGTCTTACCGAAAACGTGGTTTCGTATCCCACCGCTGCCAGATTTTCTTTTTTGATTCTCCGAAAAGTTTTTTAATGCATTTAACAATAAATGTTCCAAAGGAATAAAAGAACAGTATGAACATAATGCCGACGGTAGCGTGGCCGAGCGGTCTAAGGCGCTGGTTTAAGGCACCAGTCTCTCCGGAGGCGTGGGTTCGAATCCCACCGCTGCCAGGATTTCTTTTTTTGTTTTTCCAAAAAGTTTTTTAATGCATTTTGCAATAAATTTTCCAAAGGAATAAAAGAACAGTATGAACATAATGCCGACGGTAGCGTGGCCGAGCGGTCTAAGGCGCTCTTTTAAGGCACCAGTCTCTCCGGAGGCGTGGGTTCGAATCCCACCGCTGCCAGGATTTCATTTTTTTTCACCGAAAAGTGTTGTAATGCATTTAAAAACATTGTTCCAAAGGAATAAAAGAACACTATAAATGTGACCCCGACGGTAGCGTGGCCGAGCGGTGTAAGGCGCAGATTTAAGGCGCCAGTCTTACCGAAAACGTGGTTTCGTATCCCACCGCTGCCAGGTTTTCTTTTTTGTTTCTCCGAAAAGTTTTTAATGCATTTAACAATAAATGTTCCAAAGGAATAAAAGAACAAAATAAACGTAATGCCGACGGTAGCGTGGCCGAGCGGTCTAAGCGCTGGTTTAAGGCAAGAAGTCTCTCCAGAGGCGTGGGTTCGAATCCCACCGCTGCCAGGATTTCATTTTTTGTTTCACCGAAAGTGTTGTAATGCATTTAAAAAACATTGTTCCAAAGGAATAAAAGAACACTATAAATGTGACCCCCACGGTAGCGTGGCCGAGCGGTGTAAGGCGCAGATTTAAGGCGCCAGTCTTACCGAAAACGTGGTTTCGTATCCACCGCTGCCAGGTTTTCTTTTTTTTGTTTCTACGAAAAGTTTTTTAATGCATTTAACAATAAATGTTCCAAAGGAATAAAAGAACACTATAAACGTAATGCCGACGGTAGCGTGGCCGAGCGGTCTAAGGCGCTGGTTTAAGGCACCAGTCTCTCCGGAGGCGTGGGTTCGAATCCCACCGCTGCCAGGATTTCATTTTTTGTTTCACCGGAAAGTGTTGTAATGCATTTAAAAACATTGTTCCAAAGGAATAAAAGAACACTATAAATGTGACCCCGACGGTAGCGTGGCCGAGCGGTGTAAGGCGCAGATTTAAGGCGCCAGTCTTACCGAAAACGTGGTTTCGTATCCCACCGCTGCCAGGTTTTCTTTTTTGTTTCTCCGAAAAGTTTTTAATGCATTTAACAATAAATGTTCCAAAGGAATAAAAGAACACTATAAACGTAATGCCGACGGTAGCGTGGCCGAGCGGTCTAAGGCGCTGGTTTAAGGCACCAGTCTCTCCAGAGGCGTGGGTTCGAATCCCACCGCTGCCAGGTTTTCTTTTTTGTTTTTACGAAAAGTTTTTTAATGCATTTAACAATAAATGTTCCAAAGGAATAAAAGAACACTATAAACGTAATGCCGACGGTAGCGTGGCCGAGCGGTCTAAGGCGCTGGTTTAAGGCACCAGTCTCTCCGGAGGCGTGGGTTCGAATCCCACCGCTGCCAGGATTTCATTTTTTGTTTCACCGAAAGTGTTGTAATGCATTTAAAAACATTGTTCCAAAGGAATAAAAGAACACTATAAATGTGACCCCGACGGTAGCGTGGCCGAGCGGTGTAAGGCGCAGATTTAAGGCGCCAGTCTTACCGAAAACGTGGTTTCGTATCCCACCGCTGCCAGGTTTTCTTTTTTGTTTCTCCGAAAAGTTTTTTAATGCATTTAACAATAAATGTTCCAAAGTAAAAGAACACTATAAACGTAATGCCGACGGTAGCGTGGCCGAGCGGTCTAAGGCGCTGGTTTAAGGCACCAGTCTCTCCAGAGGCGTGGGTTCGAATCCCACCGCTGCCAGGTTTTCTTTTTTTTTTGTTTTACGAAAAGTTTTTAATGCATTTAACAATAAATGTTCCAAAGGAATAAAAGAACACTATAAACGTAATGCCGACGGTAGCGTGGCCGAGCGGTCTAAGGCGCTGGTTTAAGGCACCAGTCTCTCCGGAGGCGTGGGTTCGAATCCCACCGCTGCCAGGATTTCATTTTTTGTTTCACCGGAAAGTGTTGTAATGCATTTAAAAACATTGTTCCAAAGGAATAAAAGAACACTATAAAATGTGACCCCGACGGTAGCGTGGCCGAGGGGTGTAAGGCGCAGATTTAAGGCGCCAGTCTTACCGAAAACGTGGTTTCGTATCCCACCGCTGCCAGGTTTTCTTTTTTGGATTCTCCGAAAAGTTTTTTAATGCATTTAACAATAAATGTTCCAAAGGAATAAAAGAACACTATAAACGTAATGCCGACGGTAGCGTGGCCGAGCGGTCTAAGGCGCTGGTTTAAGGCACCAGTCTCTCCGGAGGCGTGGGTTCGAATCCCACCGCTGCCAGGATTTCTTTTTTTGTTTTTCCAAAAGTTTTTTAACGCATTTAACAATAAATTTTCCAAAGGAATAAAAGAACAGTATGAACATAATGCCGACGGTAGCGTGGCCGAGCGGTCTAAGGCGCTCTTTTAAGGCACCAGTCTCTCCGAGGCGTGGGTTCGAATCCCACCGCTGCCAGGATTTCATTTTTTTTTTCACCGAAAAGTGTTGTAATGCATTTAAAAACATTGTTCCAAAGGAATAAAAGAACACTATAAATGTGACCCCGACGGTAGCGTGGCCGAGCGGTGTAAGGCGCAGATTTAAGGCGCCAGTCTTACCGAAAACGTGGGTTCGAATCCACCGCTTCCAGGATTTTCTTTTTTGTTTCACGAAAAGTTTTTAAATGCATTTAACAATAAATGTTCCAAAGGAATAAAAGAACACTATAAACGTAATGCCGACGGTAGCGTGGCCGAGCGGTCTAAGGCGCTGGTTTAAGGCACCAGTCTCTCCGGAGGCGTGGGTTCGAATCCCACCGCTGCCAGGATTTCATTTTTTGTTTCACCGGAAAGTGTTGTAATGCATTTAAAAAACATTGTTCCAAAGGAATAAAAGAACACTATAAATGTGACCCCGACGGTAGCGTGGCCGAGGGGTGTAAGGCGCAGATTTAAGGCGCCAGTCTTACCGAAAACGTGGTTTCGTATCCCACCGCTGCCAGATTTTCTTTTTTGATTCTCCGAAAAGTTTTTTAATGCATTTAACAATAAATGTTCCAAAGGAATAAAAGAACAGTATTAACATAATGCCGACGGTAGCGTGGCCGAGCGGTCTAAGGCGCTGGTTTAAGGCACCAGTCTCTCCGGAGGCGTGGGTTCGAATCCCACCGCTGCCAGGTTTTCTTTTTTGTTTTTCAAAAGTTTTTAATGCATTTACCAATAAATTTTCCAAAGGAATAAAAGAACACTATAAACATAATGCCGACGGTAGCGTGGCCGAGCGGTCTAAGGCGCTGGTTTAAGGCACCAGTCTCTCCGGAGGCGTGGGTTCGAATCCCACCGCTGCCAGGATTTCATTTTTTTTTCACCGAAAAGTGTTGTAATGCATTTAACAACTATTGTTCCAAAGGAATAAAAGAACACTATAAATGTGACCCCGACGGTAGCGTGGCCGAGCGGTGTAAGGCGCAGATTTAAGGCGCCAGTCTTACCGAAAACGTGGTTTCGTATTCCACCGCTGCCAGGTTTTCTTTTTTTTTTGTTTCTACGAAAAGTTTTTAAATGCATTTAACAATAAATGTTCCAAAGGAATAAAAGAACACTATAAACGTAATGCCGACGGTAGCGTGGCCGAGCGGTCTAAGGCGCTGGTTTAAGGCACCAGTCTCTCCGGAGGCGTGGGTTCGAATCCCACCGCTGCCAGGATTTCATTTTTTGTTTCACCGGAAAGTGTTGTAATGCATTTAAAAACATTGTTCCAAAGGAATAAAAGAACACTATAAATGTGACCCCGACGGTAGCGTGGCCGAGCGGTGTAAGGCGCAGATTTAAGGCGCCAGTCTTACCGAAAACGTGGTTTCGTATCCCACCGCTGCCAGGTTTTCTTTTTGTTTCTCCGAAAAGTTTTTTAATGCATTTAACAATAAATGTTCCAAAGGAATAAAAGAACACTATAAACGTAATGCCGACGGTAGCGTGGCCGAGCGGTCTAAGGCGCTGGTTTAAGGCACCAGTCTCTCCGGAGGCGTGGGTTCGAATCCCACCGCTGCCAGGATTTCATTTTTTGTTTCACCGAAAAGTTTTTAATGCATTTAAAAAAATTGTTCCAAAGGAATAAAAGAACACTATAAATGTGACCCCGACGGTAGCGTGGCCGAGCGGTGTAAGGCGCAGATTTAAGGCGCCAGTCTTACCGAAAACGTGGTTTCGTATCCCACCGCTGCCAGGTTTTCTTTTTTTGTATTCTCCGAAAAGTTTTTTAATGCATTTAACAATAAATGTTCCAAAGGAATAAAAGAACACTATAAACGTAATGCCGACGGTAGCGTGGCCGAGCGGTCTAAGGCGTTGGTTTAAGGCACCTGTCTTCCAGAGGCGTGGGTTCGAATCCCACCGCTGCCAGGTTTTCTTTTTTTTTTTTACGAAAAGTTTTTTAATGCATTTAACAATAAATGTTCCAAAGGAATAATAGAACACTATAAACGTAATGCCGACGGTAGCGTGGCCGAGCGGTCTAAGGCGCTGGTTTAAGGCACCAGTCTCTCCGGAGGCGTGGGTTCGAATCCCACCGCTGCCATGATTTCATTTTTTGTTTCACCGGAAAGTGTTGTAATGCATTTAAAAAACATTGTTCCAAAGGAATAAAAGAACACTATAAAATGTGACCCCGACGGTAGCGTGGCCGAGGGGTGTAAGGCGCAGATTTAAGGCGCCAGTCTTACCGAAAACGTGGTTTCGTATCCCACCGCTGCCAGATTTTCTTTTTTGTTTCTCCGAAAAGTTTTTTAATGCATTTAACAATAAATGTTCCAAAGGAATAAAAGAACAGTATGAACATAATGCCGACGGTAGCGTGGCCGAGCGGTCTAAGGCGCTGGTTTAAGGCACCAGTCTCTCCGGAGGCGTGGGTTCGAATCCCACCGCTGCCAGGATTTCTTTTTTTGTTTTTCCAAAAAGTTTTTTAATGCATTTTGCAATAAATTTTCCAAAGGAATAAAAGAACAGTATGAACATAATGCCGACGGTAGCGTGGCCGAGCGGTCTAAGGCGCTGGTTTAAGGCACCAGTCTCTCCGAGGCGTGGGTTCGAATCCCACCGCTGCCAGGATTTCATTTTTTTTTCACCGAAAAGTGTTGTAATGCATTTAAAAAACATTGTTCCAAAGGAATAAAAGAACACTATAAATGTGACCCGACGGTAGCGTGGCCGAGCGGTGTAAGGCGCAGATTTAAGGCGCCAGTCTTACCGAAAACGTGGTTTCGTATTCCACCGCTGCCAGGTTTTCTTTTTTTGTTTCTACGAAAAGTTTTTAAATGCATTTAACAATAAATGTTCCAAAGGAATAAAAGAACACTATAAACGTAATGCCGACGGTAGCGTGGCCGAGCGGTCTAAGGCGCTGGTTTAAGGCACCAGTCTCTCCGGAGGCGTGGGTTCGAATCCCACCGCTGCCAATTTCATTTTTTGTTTCACCGGAAAGTGTTGTAATGCATTTAAAAACATTGTTCCAAAGGAATAAAAGAACACTATAAATGTGACCCCGACGGTAGCGTGGCCGAGCGGTGTAAGGCGCAGATTTAAGGCGCCAGTCTTACCGAAAACGTGGTTTCGTATCCCACCGCTGCCAGGTTTTCTTTTTTGGATTCTCCGAAAAGTTTTTAATGCATTTAACAATAAATGTTCCAAAGGAATAAAAGAACACTATAAACATAATGCCGACGGTAGCGTGGCCGAGCGGTCTAAGGCGCTGGTTTAAGGCACCAGTCTCTCCGGAGGCGTGGGTTCGAATCCCACCGCTGCCAGGTTTTCTTTTTGTTTTTTCAAAAAAGTTTTTAATGCATTTAACAATAAATGTTCCAAAGGAATAAAAGAACACTATAAACGTAATGCCGACGGTAGCGTGGCCGAGCGGTCTAAGGCGCTGGTTTAAGGCACCAGTCTCTCCGAGGCGTGGTTTCGAATCCCACCGCTGCCAGGTTTTCTTTTTTTCTTTCTACGAAAAGTTTTTTAATGCATTTAACAATAAATTTTCCAAAGGAATAAAAGAACACTATAAACGTAATGCCGACGGTAGCGTGGCCGAGCGGTCTAAGGCGCTGGTTTAAGGCACCAGTCTCTCCGGAGGCGTGGGTTCGAATCCCACCGCTGCCAGGATTTCATTTTTTGTTTCACCGAAAAGTGTTGTAATGCATTTAAAAAACATTGTTCCAAAGGAATAAAAGAACACTATAAATGTGACCCCGACGGTAGCGTGGCCGAGCGGTGTAAGGCGCAGATTTAAGGCGCCAGTCTTACCGAAAACGTGGTTTCGTATTCCACCGCTGCCAGGTTTTCTTTTTTTCTTTCTACGAAAAGTTTTTAAATGCATTTAACAATAAATGTTCCAAAGGAATAAAAGAACACTATAAACGTAATGCCGACGGTAGCGTGGCCGAGCGGTCTAAGGCGCTGGTTTAAGGCACCAGTCTCTCCGGAGGCGTGGGTTCGAATCCCACCGCTGCCAGGATTTCATTTTTTGTTTCACCGGAAAGTGTTGTAATGCATTTAAAAACATTGTTCCAAAGGAATAAAAGAACACTATAAATGTGACCCCGACGGTAGCGTGGCCGAGCGGTGTAAGGCGCAGATTTAAGGCGCCAGTCTTACCGAAAACGTGGTTTCGTATCCCACCGCTGCCAGGTTTTCTTTTTTGTTTCTCGAAAAGTTTTTTAATGCATTTAACAATAAATGTTCCAAAGGAATAAAAGAACACTATAAACATAATGCCGACGGTAGCGTGGCCGAGCGGTCTAAGGCGCTGGTTTAAGGCACCAGTCTCTCCGGAGGCGTGGGTTCGAATCCCACCGCTGCCAGGTTTTCTTTTTTGTTTTTCACCGTTTTTAATGCATTTAAAAAAATTTTTAATGCATTTAACAATAAATGTTCCAAAAACGGAATAAAAGAACACTATAAACGTAATGCCGACGGTAGCGTGGCCGAGCGGTCTAAGGCGCTGGTTTAAGGCACCAGTCTCTCCGGAGGCGTGGGTTCGAATCCCACCGCTGCCAGGATTTCATTTTTTTTCACCGAAAGTGTTGTAATGCATTTAAAAAAATTGTTCCAAAGGAATAAAAGAACACTATAAATGTGACCCCGACGGTAGCGTGGCCGAGCGGTGTAAGGCGCAGATTTAAGGCGCCAGTCTTACCGAAAACGTGGTTTCGTATCCCACCGCTGCCAGGTTTTCTTTTTTTTTTCTCCGAAAAGTTTTTTAATGCATTTAACAATAAATGTTCTAAAGGAATAAAAGAACAGTATGAACGTAATGCCGACGGTAGCGTGGCCGAGCGGTCTAAGGCGCTGGTTTAAGGCACCAGTCTCTCCGGAGGCGTGGGTTCGAATCCCACCGCTGCCAGGATTTCATTTTTTGTTTCACCGAAAAGTGTTGTAATGCATTTAAAAAAATTGTTCCAAAGGAATAAAAGAACACTATAAATGTGACCCCGACGGTAGCGTGGCCGAGCGGTGTAAGGCGCAGATTTAAGGCGCCAGTCTTACCGAAAACGTGGTTTCGTATTCCACCGCTGCCAGGTTTTCTTTTTTGTTTCTACGAAAAGTTTTTAAATGCATTTAACAATAAATGTTCCAAAGGAATAAAAGAACACTATAAACGTAATGCCGACGGTAGCGTGGCCGAGCGGTCTAAGGCGCTGGTTTAAGGCACCAGTCTCTCCGGAGGCGTGGGTTCGAATCCCACCGCTGCCAGGATTTCATTTTTTGTTTCACCGAAAGTGTTTAATGCATTTAAAAACATTGTTCCAAAGGAATAAAAGAACACTATAAAATGTGACCCCGACGGTAGCGTGGCCGAGCGGTGTAAGGCGCAGATTTAAGGCGCCAGTCTTACCGAAAACGTGGTTTCGTATCCACCGCTGCCAGGTTTTCTTTTTTGTTTCTCCGAAAAGTTTTTAAATGCATTTAACAATAAATGTTCCAAAGGAATAAAAGAACACTATAAACGTAATGCCGACGGTAGCGTGGCCGAGCGGTCTAAGGCGTGGTTTCTGGTTTAAGGCACCAGTCTCTCCGGAGGCGTGGGTTCCCCACCGCTGCCAGGTTTTCTTTTTTTTTGTTTTTAAAAAGTTTTTTAATGCATTTAACAATAAATGTTCCAAAGGAATAAAAGAACACTATAAACGTAATGCCGACGGTAGCGTGGCCGAGCGGTCTAAGGCGCTGGTTTAAGGCACCAGTCTCTCCGAGGCGTGGGTTCGAATCCCACCGCTGCCAGGATTTCATTTTTTTTTTTCACCGAAAGTGTTGTAATGCATTTAAAAACATTGTTCCAAAGGAATAAAAGAACACTATAAATGTGACCCCGACGGTAGCGTGGCCGAGCGGTGTAAGGCGCAGATTTAAGGCGCCAGTCTTACCGAAAACGTGGTTTCGTATTCCACCGCTGCCAGGTTTTCTTTTTTGTTTCTACGAAAAGTTTTTAAATGCATTTAACAATAAATGTTCCAAAGGAATAAAAGAACACTATAAACGTAATGCCGACGGTAGCGTGGCCGAGCGGTCTAAGGCGCTGGTTTAAGGCACCAGTCTCTCCGGAGGCGTGGGTTCGAATCCCACCGCTGCCAGGATTTCATTTTTTGTTTCACCGGAAAGTGTTGTAATGCATTTAAAAACATTGTTCCAAAGGAATAAAAGAACACTATAAATGTGACCCCGACGGTAGCGTGGCCGAGCGGTGTAAGGCGCAGATTTAAGGCGCCAGTCTTACCGAAAACGTGGTTTCGTATCCCACCGCTGCCAGGTTTTCTTTTTTGGATTCTCCGAAAAGTTTTTTAATGCATTTAACAATAAATGTTCCAAAGGAATAAAAGAACACTATAAACGTAATGCCGACGGTAGCGTGGCCGAGCGGTCTAAGGCGCTGGTTTAAGGCACCAGTCTCTCCGGAGGCGTGGGTTCGAATCCCACCGCTGCCAGGATTTCATTTTTTTTCACCGAAAAGTGTTGTAATGCATTTGAAAAACATTGTTCCAAAGGAATAAAAGAACACTATAAATGTGACCCCGACGGTAGCGTGGCCGAGCGGTGTAAGGCGCAGATTTAAGGCGCCAGTCTTACCGAAAACGTGGTTTCGTATCCCACCGCTGCCAGGTTTTCTTTTTTTGTTTCTCCGAAAAGTTTTTAAATGCATTTAACAATAAATGTTCCAAAGGAATAAAAGAACACTATAAACGTAATGCCGACGGTAGCGTGGCCGAGCGGTCTAAGGCGCTGGTTTAAGGCATTTCCGAGGCGTGGGTTCGAATCCCACCGCTGCCAGGTTTTCTTTTTTTTTGTTTTTCAAAAGTTTTTTAATGCATTTATAAAGGAATAAAAGAACACTATAAACGTAATGCCGACGGTAGCGTGGCCGAGCGGTCTAAGGCGCTGGTTTAAGGCTCCAGTCTCTCCGGAGGCGTGGGTTCGAATCCCACCGCTGCCAGGATTTCATTTTTTGTTTCACCGAAAAGTGTTGTAATGCATTTAAAAACATTGTTCCAAAGGAATAAAAGAACACTATAAATGTGACCCCGACGGTAGCGTGGCCGAGCGGTGTAAGGCGCAGATTTAAGGCGCCAGTCTTACCGAAAACGTGGTTTCGTATCCCACCGCTGCCAGGTTTTCTTTTTTTTTTCTCTTTCTAAAAGTTTTTAAATGCATTTAACAATAAATGTTCCAAAGGAATAAAAGAACACTATAAACGTAATGCCGACGGTAGCGTGGCCGAGCGGTCTAAGGCGCTGGTTTAAGGCACCAGTCTCTCCGGAGGCGTGGGTTCGAATCCCACCGCTGCCAGGATTTCATTTTTTGTTTCACCGAAAGTGTTGTAATGCATTTAAAAAACATTGTTCCAAAGGAATAAAAGAACACTATAAATGTGACCCCGACGGTAGCGTGGCCGAGCGGTGTAAGGCGCAGATTTAAGGCGCCAGTCTTACCGAAAACGTGGTTTCGTATCCCACCGCTGCCAGGTTTTCTTTTTTGTTTCTCGAAAAGTTTTTAATGCATTTAACAATAAATGTTCCAAAGGAATAAAAGAACACTATAAACGTAATGCCGACGGTAGCGTGGCCGAGCGGTCTAAGGCGCTGGTTTAAGGCACCAGTCTCTCCGAGAGGCGTGGGTTCGAATCCCACCGCTGCCAGGTTTTCTTTTTTTGTTTTTACGAAAAGTTTTTAATGCATTTAACAATAAATGTTCCAAAGGAATAAAAGAACACTATAAACGTAATGCCGACGGTAGCGTGGCCGAGCGGTCTAAGGCGCTGGTTTAAGGCACCAGTCTCTCCGGAGGCGTGGGTTCGAATCCCACCGCTGCCAGGATTTCATTTTTTGTTTCACCGAAAAGTGTTGTAATGCATTTAAAAACATTGTTCCAAAGGAATAAAAGAACACTATAAATGTGACCCCGACGGTAGCGTGGCCGAGCGGTGTAAGGCGCAGATTTAAGGCGCCAGTCTTACCGAAAACGTGGTTTCGTATCCCACCGCTGCCAGGTTTTTTTTTTTGTTTCTCCGAAAAGTTTTTTAATGCATTTAACAATAAATGTTCCAAAGGAATAAAAGAACACTATAAACATAATGCCGACGGTAGCGTGGCCGAGCGGTCTAAGGCGCTGGTTTAAGGCACCAGTCTCTCCGGAGGCGTGGGTTCGAATCCCACCGCTGCCAGGATTTCATTTTTTGTTTCACCGAAAAGTGTTGTAATGCATTTAAAAAAATTGTTCCAAAGGAATAAAAGAACACTATAAATGTGACCCCCGACGGTAGCGTGGCCGAGCGGTCTAAGGCGCAGATTTAAGGCGCCAGTCTTACCGAAAACGTGGTTTCGTATCCCACCGCTGCCAGGTTTTCTTTTTTTCTTTCTACGAAAAGTTTTTAAATGCATTTAACAATAAATGTTCCAAAGGAATAAAAGAACACTATAAACGTAATGCCGACGGTAGCGTGGCCGAGCGGTCTAAGGCGCTGGTTTAAGGCACCAGTCTCTCCGGAGGCGTGGGTTCGAATCCCACCGCTGCCAGGATTTCATTTTTTGTTTCACCGGAAAGTGTTGTAATGCATTTAAAAACATTGTTCCAAAGGAATAAAAGAACACTATAAATGTGACCCCGACGGTAGCGTGGCCGAGCGGTCTAAGGCGCAGATTTAAGGCGCCAGTCTTACCGAAAACGTGGTTTCGTATCCCACCGCTGCCAGGTTTTCTTTTTTTGTTTCTCCGAAAAGTTTTTAAATGCATTTAACAATAAATGTTCCAAAGGAATAAAAGAACACTATAAACGTAATGCCGACGGTAGCGTGGCCGAGCGGTCTAAGGCGCTGGTTTAAGGCACCAGTCTCTCCGGAGGCGTGGGTTCGAATCCCACCGCTGCCAGGATTTCATTTTTTTTTCACCGAAAAGTTTTTTAATGCATTTAAAAAATTGTTTCCAAAGGAATAAAAGAACACTATAAACATGTGCCGACGGTAGCGTGGCCGAGCGGTCTAAGGCGCAGATTTAAGGCGCCAGTCTTACCGAAAACGTGGTTTCGTATCCCACCGCTGCCAGGTTTTCTTTTTTTGTTTCTACGAAAAGTTTTTAAATGCATTTAACAATAAATGTTCCAAAGGAATAAAAGAACACTATAAACGTAATGCCGACGGTAGCGTGGCCGAGCGGTCTAAGGCGCTGGTTTAAGGCACCAGTCTTCCGAGGCGTGGGTTCGAATCCCACCGCTGCCAGGTTTTCTTTTTTGTTTTTCCGAAAAGTTTTTTAATGCATTTAACAATAAATGTTCCAAAGGAATAAAAGAACACTATAAACGTAATGCCGACGGTAGCGTGGCCGAGCGGTCTAAGGCGCTGGTTTAAGGCACCAGTCTCTCCGGAGGCGTGGGTTCGAATCCCACCGCTGCCAGGATTTCATTTTTTGTTTCACCGAAAAGTGTTGTAATGCATTTAAAAACATTGTTCCAAAGGAATAAAAGAACACTATAAATGTGACCCCCACGGTAGCGTGGCCGAGCGGTGTAAGGCGCAGATTTAAGGCGCCAGTCTTACCGAAAACGTGGTTTCGTATCCCACCGCTGCCAGGTTTTCTTTTTTTTGTTTCTACGAAAAGTTTTTAAATGCATTTAACAATAAATGTTCCAAAGGAATAAAAGAACACTATAAACGTAATGCCGACGGTAGCGTGGCCGAGCGGTCTAAGGCGCTGGTTTAAGGCACCAGTCTCTCCGGAGGCGTGGGTTCGAATCCCACCGCTGCCAGGATTTCATTTTTTGTTTCACCGAAAAGTGTTGTAATGCATTTAAAAACATTGTTCCAAAGGAATAAAAGAACACTATAAATGTGACCCCGACGGTAGCGTGGCCGAGCGGTGTAAGGCGCAGATTTAAGGCGCCAGTCTTACCGAAAACGTGGTTTCGTATCCCACCGCTGCCAGGTTTTCTTTTTGTTTCTCCGAAAAGTTTTTAATGCATTTAACAATAAATGTTCCAAAGGAATAAAAGAACACTATAAACGTAATGCCGACGGTAGCGTGGCCGAGCGGTCTAAGGCGCTGGTTTAAGGCACCAGTCTTCCGGAGGCGTGGGTTCGAATCCCGCCGCTGCCAGGATTTCATTTTATGTTTCACCGAAAGTGTTGTAATGCATTTAAAAACATTGTTCCAAAGGAATAAAAGAACACTATAAATGTGACCCCGACGGTAGCGTGGCCGAGCGGTGTAAGGCGCAGATTTAAGGCGCCAGTCTTACCGAAAACGTGGTTTCGTATCCCACCGCTGCCAGGTTTTCTTTTTTTGTTTTTCTCGAAAAGTTTTTAATGCATTTAACAATAAATGTTCCAAAGGAATAAAAGAACACTATAAACGTAATGCCGACGGTAGCGTGGCCGAGCGGTCTAAGGCGCTGGTTTAAGGCACCAGTCTCTCCGGAGGCGTGGGTTCGAATCCCACCGCTGCCAGGATTTCATTTTTTGTTTCACCGGAAAGTGTTGTAATGCATTTAAAAAACATTGTTCCAAAGGAATAAAAGAACACTATAAATGTGACCCCGACGGTAGCGTGGCCGAGCGGTGTAAGGCGCAGATTTAAGGCGCCAGTCTTACCGAAAACGTGGTTTCGTATCCCACCGCTGCCAGGTTTTCTTTTTTGGATTCTCCGAAAAGTTTTTTAATGCATTTAACAATAAATGTTCCAAAGGAATAAAAGAACACTATAAACGTAATGCCGACGGTAGCGTGGCCGAGCGGTCTAAGGCGCTGGTTTAAGGCACCAGTCTCTCCGGAGGCGTGGGTTCGAATCCCACCGCTGCCAGGATTTCTTTTTTTTTTTTCCAAAAGTTTTTAATGCATTTAACAATAAATGTTCCAAAGGAATAAAAGAACAGTATGAACATAATGCCGACGGTAGCGTGGCCGAGCGGTCTAAGGCGCTGGTTTAAGGCACCAGTCTCTCCGGAGGCGTGGGTTCGAATCCCACCGCTGCCAGGATTTCATTTTTTTTTCACCGAAAAGTGTTGTAATGCATTTAAAAAACATTTTCCAAAGGAATAAAAGAACACTATAAATGTGACCCCGACGGTAGCGTGGCCGAGCGGTGTAAGGCGCAGATTTAAGGCGCCAGTCTTACCGAAAACGTGGTTTCGTATTCCACCGCTGCCAGGTTTTCTTTTTTTTGTTTCTACGAAAAGTTTTTAAATGCATTTAACAATAAATGTTCCAAAGGAATAAAAGAACACTATAAACGTAATGCCGACGGTAGCGTGGCCGAGCGGTCTAAGGCGCTGGTTTAAGGCACCAGTCTCTCCGGAGGCGTGGGTTCGAATCCCACCGCTGCCAGGATTTCATTTTTTGTTTCACCGAAAAGTGTTGTAATGCATTTAAAAACATTGTTCCAAAGGAATAAAAGAACACTATAAATGTGACCCCCACGGTAGCGTGGCCGAGCGGTGTAAGGCGCAGATTTAAGGCGCCAGTCTTACCGAAAACGTGGTTTCGTATCCCACCGCTGCCAGGTTTTCTTTTTTTGTTTTTCTCCGAAAAGTTTTTTAATGCATTTAACAATAAATGTTCCAAAGGAATAAAAGAACACTATAAACGTAATGCCGACGGTAGCGTGGCCGAGCGGTCTAAGGCGCTGGTTTAAGGCACCAGTCTTACTCCGGAGGCGTGGGTTCGAATCCCACCGCTGCCAGGTTTTCATTTTTGTTTCACCGAAAAGTTTTTAATGCATTTAAAAATAATTGTTCCAAAGGAATAAAAGAACACTATAAATGTGACCCCGACGGTAGCGTGGCCGAGCGGTCTAAGGCGCAGATTTAAGGCACCAGTCTTACCGAAAACGTGGTTTCGAATCCCACCGCTGCCAGGATTTCATTTTTTTTTTCCTACGAAAAGTTTTTAATGCATTTAACAATAAATGTTCCAAAGGAATAAAAGAACACTATAAACGTAATGCCGACGGTAGCGTGGCCGAGCGGTCTAAGGCGCTGGTTTAAGGCACCAGTCTCTCCGGAGGCGTGGGTTCGAATCCCACCGCTGCCAGGATTTCATTTTTTGTTTCACCGAAAAGTGTTGTAATGCTTTTAAAAACATTGTTCCAAAGGAATAAAAGAACACTATAAATGTGACCCCGACGGTAGCGTGGCCGAGCTGTGTAAGGCGCAGATTTAAGGCGCCAGTCTTACCGAAAACGTGGTTTCGTATCCCACCGCTGCCAGGTTTTCTTTTTTTTGTTTCTCCGAAAAGTTTTTTAATGCATTTAACAATAAATGTTCCAAAGGAATAAAAGAACACTATAAACGTAATGCCGACGGTAGCGTGGCCGAGCGGTCTAAGGCGCTGGTTTAAGGCACCAGTCTCTCCGGAGGCGTGGGTTCGAATCCCACCGCTGCCAGGATTTCATTTTTTGTTTCACCGGAAAGTGTTGTAATGCATTTAAAAACATTGTTCCAAAGGAAAAAAAGAACACTATAAATGTGACCCCCACGGTAGCGTGGCCGAGCGGTGTAAGGCGCAGATTTAAGGCGCCAGTCTTACCGAAAACGTGGTTTCGTATCCCACCGCTGCCAGGTTTTCTTTTTTTTTTCTTCTACGAAAAGTTTTTAAATGCATTTAACAATAAATGTTCCAAAGGAATAAAAGAACACTATAAACGTAATGCCGACGGTAGCGTGGCCGAGCGGTCTAAGGCGCTGGTTTAAGGCACCAGTCTCTCCGGAGGCGTGGGTTCGAATCCCACCGCTGCCAGGATTTCATTTTTTGTTTCACCGAAAAGTGTTGTAATGCATTTAAAAACATTGTTCCAAAGGAATAAAAGAACACTATAAATGTGACCCCCACGGTAGCGTGGCCGAGCGGTGTAAGGCGCAGATTTAAGGCGCCAGTCTTACCGAAAACGTGGTTTCGTATCCCACCGCTGCCAGGTTTTCTTTTTTGTTTCTCGAAAAGTTTTTAAATGCATTTAACAATAAATGTTCCAAAGGAATAAAAGAACACTATAAACGTAATGCCGACGGTAGCGTGGCCGAGCGGTCTAAGGCGCTGGTTTAAGGCACCAGTCTCTCCGGAGGCGTGGGTTCGAATCCCACCGCTGCCAGGATTTCATTTTTTGTTTCACCGAAAAGTGTTGTAATGCATTTAAAAACATTGTTCCAAAGGAATAAAAGAACACTATAAATGTGACCCCCACGGTAGCGTGGCCGAGCGGTGTAAGGCGCAGATTTAAGGCGCCAGTCTTACCGAAAACGTGGTTTCGTATCCCACCGCTGCCAGGTTTTCTTTTTTTTGTTTCTACGAAAAGTTTTTAAATGCATTTAACAATAAATGTTCCAAAGGAATAAAAGAACACTATAAACGTAATGCCGACGGTAGCGTGGCCGAGCGGTCTAAGGCGCTGGTTTAAGGCACCAGTCTCTCCGGAGGCGTGGGTTCGAATCCCACCGCTGCCAGGATTTCATTTTTTTTTTCACCGAAAAGTGTTGTAATGCATTTAAAAACATTGTTCCAAAGGAATAAAAGAACACTATAAATGTGACCCCCACGGTAGCGTGGCCGAGCGGTGTAAGGCGCAGATTTAAGGCGCCAGTCTTACCGAAAACGTGGTTTCGTATCCCACCGCTGCCAGGTTTTCTTTTTTGTTTCTACGAAAAGTTTTTAAATGCATTTAACAATAAATGTTCCAAAGGAATAAAAGAACACTATAAACGTAATGCCGACGGTAGCGTGGCCGAGCGGTCGGCGCTGGTTTAAGGCACCAGTCTAAGGCGTGTCCACGCTGGTTTAAGGCACCAGTCTCTCCGAGAGGCGTGGGTTCGAATCCCACCGCTGCCAGGATTTCATTTTTTGTTTCACCGAAAAGTGTTGTAATGCATTTAAAAAACATTGTTCCAAAGGAATAAAAGAACACTATAAATGTGACCCCCACGGTAGCGTGGCCGAGCGGTCTAAGGCGCAGATTTAAGGCGCCAGTCTTACCGAAAACGTGGTTTCGTATCCCACCGCTGCCAGGTTTTCTTTGTTTGTTTCTACGAAAAGTTTTTTAAATGCATTTAACAATAAATGTTCCAAAGGAATAAAAGAACACTATAAACGTAATGCCGACGGTAGCGTGGCCGAGCGGTCTAAGGCGCTGGTTTAAGGCACCAGTCTCTCCGGAGGCGTGGGTTCGAATCCCACCGCTGCCAGGATTTCATTTTTTTTGTTTCACCGAAAAGTGTTGTAATGCATTTAAAAAAATTGTTCCAAAGGAATAAAAGAACACTATAAATGTGACCCCGACGGTAGCGTGGCCGAGCGGTGTAAGGCGCAGATTTAAGGCGCCAGTCTTACCGAAAACGTGGTTTCGTATCCCACCGCTGCCAGGTTTTCTTTTTTGTTTCTCGAAAAGTTTTTAATGCATTTAACAATAAATGTTCCAAAGGAATAAAAGAACACTATAAACGTAATGCCGACGGTAGCGTGGCCGAGCGGTCTAAGGCGCTGGTTTAATCTTAAAATCCCACCGCTGCCAACAAAAGTTTTTAATGCATTTAACAATAAATGTTCCAAAGGAATAAAAGAACACTATAAACGTAATGCCGACGGTAGCGTGGCCGAGCGGTCTAAGGCGCTGGTTTAAGGCACCAGTCTCTCCGGAGGCGTGGGTTCGAATCCCACCGCTGCCAGGATTTCATTTTTTGTTTCACCGGAAAGTGTTGTAATGCATTTAAAAACATTGTTCCAAAGGAATAAAAGAACACTATAAATGTGACCCCGACGGTAGCGTGGCCGAGCGGTGTAAGGCGCAGATTTAAGGCGCCAGTCTTACCGAAAACGTGGTTTCGTATCCCACCGCTGCCAGGTTTTCTTTTTTGTTTCTCCGAAAAGTTTTTTAATGCATTTAACAATAAATGTTCCAAAGGAATAAAAGAACACTATAAATAAACGGTAGAGCGGTCAAGGCGCTGGTTTAAGGCAACTTAATCCCACCGCTGCCGACGGCATTTAACAATAAATGTTCTAAAGGAATAAAAGAACAGTATGAACTTAATGCCGACGGTAGCGTGGCCGAGCGGTCTAAGGCGCTGGTTTAAGGCACCAGTCTCTCCGGAGGCGTGGGTTCGAATCCCACCGCTGCCAGGATTTCATTTTTTGTTTCACCGAAAAGTGTTGTAATGCATTTAAAAAACATTGTTCCAAAGGAATAAAAGAACACTATAAATGTGACCCCCACGGTAGCGTGGCCGAGCTTTCTAAGGCGCAGATTTAAGGCGCCAGTCTTACCGAAAACGTGGTTTCGTATCCCACCGCTGCCAGGTTTTCTTTTTTTTGTTTCTACGAAAAGTTTTTAAATGCATTTAACAATAAATGTTCCAAAGGAATAAAAGAACACTATAAACGTAATGCCGACGGTAGCGTGGCCGAGCGGTCTAAGGCGCTGGTTTAAGGCACCAGTCTCTCCGGAGGCGTGGGTTCGAATCCCACCGCTGCCAGGATTTCATTTTTTGTTTCACCGGAAAGTGTTGTAATGCATTTAAAAACATTGTTCCAAAGGAATAAAAGAACACTATAAATGTGACCCCGACGGTAGCGTGGCCGAGCGGTGTAAGGCGCAGATTTAAGGCGCCAGTCTTACCGAAAACGTGGTTTCGTATCCCACCGCTGCCAGGTTTTCTTTTTTGTTTCTCCGAAAAGTTTTTAAATGCATTTAACAATAAATGTTCCAAAGGAATAAAAGAACACTATAAACGTAATGCCGACGGTAGCGTGGCCGAGCGGTCTAAGGCGCTGGTTTAAGGCACCAGTCTCTCCGAGGCGTGGGTTCGAATCCCACCGCTGCGCTTTCTTTTTTGTTTTTCCAAAAAGTTTTTTAAGCATTTAACAATAAATTTTCCAAAGTAAAAGAACAGTATGAACATAATGCCGACGGTAGGTGGCCGAGGTCTAAGGCGCTCTTTAAGGCACCAATCCCACCGCTGCCAGGATTTCATTTTTTGTTTCACCGAAAAGTGTTGTAATGCATTTAAAAACATTGTTCCAAAGGAATAAAAGAACACTATAAATGTGACCCCCACGGTAGCGTGGCCGAGCGGTGTAAGGCGCAGATTTAAGGCGCCAGTCTTACCGAAAACGTGGTTTCGTATCCCACCGCTGCCAGGTTTTCTTTTTTGGTTTCTCCGAAAAGTTTTTAAATGCATTTAACAATAAATGTTCCAAAGGAATAAAAGAACACTATAAACGTAATGCCGACGGTAGCGTGGCCGAGCGGTCTAAGGCGCTGGTTTAAGGCACCAGTCTCTCCGGAGGCGTGGGTTCGAATCCCACCGCTGCCAGGATTTCATTTTTTGTTTCACCGAAAAGTGTTGTAATGCATTTAAAAAACATTGTTCCAAAGGAATAAAAGAACACTATAAATGTGACCCCCACGGTAGCGTGGCCGAGCTTTCTAAGGCGCAGATTTAAGGCGCCAGTCTTACCGAAAACGTGGTTTCGTATCCCACCGCTGCCAGGTTTTCTTTTTTTGTTTTTCCGAAAAGTTTTTAAATGCATTTAACAATAAATGTTCCAAAGGAATAAAAGAACACTATAAACGTAATGCCGACGGTAGCGTGGCCGAGCGGTCTAAGGCGCTGGTTTAAGGCACCAGTCTCTCCGGAGGCGTGGGTTCGAATCCCACCGCTGCCAGGATTTCATTTTTTGTTTCACCGAAAAGTGTTGTAATGCATTTAAAAACATTGTTCCAAAGGAATAAAAGAACACTATAAATGTGACCCCGACGGTAGCGTGGCCGAGCTTTCTAAGGCGCAGATTTAAGGCGCCAGTCTTACCGAAAACGTGGTTTCGTATCCCACCGCTGCCAGGTTTTCTTTTTTGGATTCTCCGAAAAGTTTTTAATGCATTTAACAATAAATGTTCCAAAGGAATAAAAGAACACTATAAACGTAATGCCGACGGTAGCGTGGCCGAGCGGTCTAAGGCGCTGGTTTAAGGCACCAGTCTCTCCGGAGGCGTGGGTTCGAATCCCACCGCTGCCAGGATTTCATTTTTTGTTTCACCGAAGTGTTGTAATGCATTTAAAAACATTGTTCCAAAGGAATAAAAGAACACTATAAATGTGACCCCGACGGTAGCGTGGCCGAGCGGTGTAAGGCGCAGATTTAAGGCGCCAGTCTTACCGAAAACGTGGTTTCGTATCCCACCGCTGCCAGGTTTTCTTTTTTTTGTTTCTCCGAAAAGTTTTTTAATGCATTTAACAATAAATGTTCCAAAGGAATAAAAGAACACTATAAACATAATGCCGACGGTAGCGTGGCCGAGCGGTCTAAGGCGCTGGTTTAAGGCACCAGTCTCTCCGAGGCGTGGGTTCGAATCCCACCGCTGCCAGGATTTCATTTTTTGTTTCACCGAAAAGTGTTGTAATGCATTTAATAAACATTGTTCCAAAGGAATAAAAGAACACTATAAATGTGACCCCCACGGTAGCGTGGCCGAGCTTTCTAAGGCGCAGATTTAAGGCGCCAGTCTTACCGAAAACGTGGTTTCGTATCCCACCGCTGCCAGGTTTTCTTTTTTTTTTCTCGAAAAGTTTTTAAATGCATTTAACAATAAATGTTCCAAAGGAATAAAAGAACACTATAAACGTAATGCCGACGGTAGCGTGGCCGAGCGGTCTAAGGCGCTGGTTTAAGGCACCAGTCTCTCCGGAGGCGTGGGTTCGAATCCCACCGCTGCCAGGATTTCATTTTTTGTTTCACCGAAAGTGTTGTAATGCATTTAAAAAACATTGTTCCAAAGGAATAAAAGAACACTATAAATGTGACCCCGACGGTAGCGTGGCCGAGCGGTGTAAGGCGCAGATTTAAGGCGCCAGTCTTACCGAAAACGTGGTTTCGTATCCCACCGCTGCCAGGTTTTCTTTTTTTTTTGTTTCTCCGAAAAGTTTTTTAATGCATTTAACAATAAATGTTCCAAAGGAATAAAAGAACACTATAAACGTAATGCCGACGGTAGCGTGGCCGAGCGGTCTAAGGCGCTGGTTTAAGGCACCAGTCTCTCCGGAGGCGTGGGTTCGAATCCCACCGCTGCCAGGATTTCATTTTTTCACCGAAAAGTGTTGTAATGCATTTAAAAAACATTGTTCCAAAGGAATAAAAGAACACTATAAATGTGACCCCCACGGTAGCGTGGCCGAGCGGTCTAAGGCGCAGATTTAAGGCGCCAGTCTTACCGAAAACGTGGTTTCGTATCCCACCGCTGCCAGGTTTTCTTTTTTTGTTTCTCCGAAAAGTTTTTAAATGCATTTAACAATAAATGTTCCAAAGGAATAAAAGAACACTATAAACGTAATGCCGACGGTAGCGTGGCCGAGCGGTCTAAGGCGCTGGTTTAAGGCACCAGTCTCTCCGAGGCGTGGGTTCGAATCCCACCGCTGCCAGGATTTTTTTTTTTTTTTTCCAAAAGTTTTTAATGCATTTAACAATAAATGTTCCAAAGGAATAAAAGAACACTATAAACGTAATGCCGACGGTAGCGTGGCCGAGCGGTCTAAGGCGCTTTAAGGCACCAGTCTCTCCGGAGGCGTGGGTTCGAATCCCACCGCTGCCAGGATTTCATTTTTTGTTTCACCGAAAAGTGTTGTAATGCATTTAAAAACATTGTTCCAAAGGAATAAAAGAACACTATAAATGTGACCCCCACGGTAGCGTGGCCGAGCTTTCTAAGGCGCAGATTTAAGGCGCCAGTCTTACCGAAAACGTGGTTTCGTATCCCACCGCTGCCAGGTTTTCTTTTTTTGTTTCTACGAAAAGTTTTTAAATGCATTTAACAATAAATGTTCCAAAGGAATAAAAGAA